CCAAGGCATTTTGTCAAATGCAGAAACATCAGGTCTACAACACCTAGAAGTCCCTGTACCCTATTCTTATTAACAATAATAACAACAACAAAAGAAAATGACAGTTTGAAAGCATGACTATCAGTATTGGCATTTTAAATATTTATAAAATTACACTGATAATCTGTTATTGAATGATGTATGGTATTTTTTATCCAATGCACTTTTTTGAAAATCAGAATACACTTGGAGAGTGTTTTCAAAGCCAAGGGCCTAAAAACCACATCCACATCCCTTATGAATTTAGATATGCCTGGACATGTTCAAAGGCTGACTGAACAGGCCCACTGGATGCCTATTTGCTAGAAGACTTTTCAGGAGTTTTATTAGAAGGTCAATGACTTCACACAATAAGACTAATACCCTACTCCAAAATTATGACCACACGTCTTTGTGAAACTGAAGCCTTCCCTTAGTCAACCAAGTAATATTCCAGGAGGAAACAGAACATATCTCAAGGTCAGAAAGAATTGAGCAGCATGAATTGTGTTTGTAGATAATGATTGGACAAAAGCGATCATTTTCTATTATCGCAGGGTGTACGTTGCTTGAATTTCCTTTTCCTTTCAGAGAACAAGGAGAAAAATAGAATTCATGCAACACGGGTTTGAGACTTGGCTCTACTACTTAATAACTGTGCCACAGGATTAGTTTTTAAAGAACCATTGCTAGTTCCCAATGAAAAATACATGTTTTATAAATACTACACTTAGAAAAATAATCTGATCTCGAGTCTAGAATTGTCTGAGAGCTCCCAGTGTACTCACTCTAGCTTCTTCGGCTATCTCTTTCTACTATACAGTTTGAGATTTTATATCTTTGGATATTTCCTTCTCAAGTTATATTCCACTTAAATTTTGTTCCCCAAATATTTTGAAATCTGTTTTTCCAAAGTCCTTAACATTTATCTGACCATATCCAGCTTTTCCTTTGCTGATAATCACTGCTTCTAAGTGTCCAAAGTAGTTTTCATTCACTAAAAATGGTTTTCGTAATCCAAACTAAGACTCCACATTTTCTTATTTTTGTAATCAATGGTGCCTACGGGGTTGGTATGAAAACTTTGGTTTGGGGATCTTGGAAAAGTAAGAGTTTTCTGAGAAGAAGTCAGAAAGAAAAAAAAGATATTAAGGAACACTCTACTCTCCCCGCCCCCAGCCAAACAAGATTGAGCTCAAGGGACTATGTAGCTCTATGAGAAAATAGAGTCCAACAAAGGCTCTGGAAGACTCTGAGAAGAGTCCAGGTGATAAAAAGCAGCCCAGAGTGGGGAAAGGGATACGGCCTTCACTTCCTTACGGAGCACTGAGGCTTCTGAGGGCTTGGGTGGCCAAGTGGGGATATCTGCTCCTGGCAGACCTATTCCCATGGAGATCTCTGCAGCTAAGGGAATCCTGGAGAAGCAACAGGAGTCAAAGGGCATGAGCAGATAATTTCCTGCTGTGTTCATGATTTTTCAGGGAAATACACATCGCCATGATGTACAGTGACATTCTGCCTCTTGTTCCAGCAGACTGGTTTCTACGAATTAAGGTTTAACTCCATCTTGGATTCCTTACTTACTACCACCCATGAGGTCATATTTTCCCCACCATCCCATGAAAACACTATATCACTCACATTCTGAGGGATACAGTTCCCTGAGGGAACATCCCTAAATGTCTGGGTATCTGCTGAATTAGTAGCCAATGCTGATCGAATGAGCCAGTGATGTCACAAATAAAAACATTATGCACAACATCTGATCACAAACCGGAGGTAATTTGGGGAATTGTCAAGTATCTTAGCTTATATCATAAAAACTAAAAATTCTTAGAGTTCAGTAGTTCTAGGTTTCAATATTAACATGCATTAGTTAGAAAACATTCAACTGCAGGAGCCAAGCAAATCATGACTTAAACAAGTAGGAATTTATTCTTGTCAGTTTATAAGACATGAAGGAAGATGGTTGGTGGTATTGATTCATTGATTTTTAGCTGGTGTCTGTGATTCTCTTGACCTTCCCCTCATGAACAACAGTTGGCTACTTCATTCAAAATCAGCATGTGGCACTGAGCAGAGAGTTTATCCTCATATACCTTTCTCTTACGAGAGAGAACAACTATTTCCCAGAAGCTTCCCAGTCCATTTTACCTAATATCTCATAGGCAGGTGTATCAGTCATCTGAACAAACAACCCCCAAATCATCTCAGGGACATACAACAATACATGTCATTTCTTTCTTGTGTATCTGCAGGTTAGCTAGAATGACTCTGCTTTAGGCTACAGGTTTTGACAGGTCAGCCAAGAATGTGTCTCTCATTCTTGTGCAACCTGGGCTACCCAGGGGATGTCTTCTTACAGTAGAGGCCTGAAGTTTCCTGAAGGAGAAGCCTCCTCAGCTTGGAGTTGGCACACTCATACTTCTGTTCCCATTTCAAGTTCAAAATCAATGGAGCAAGAAAGTCTATTCTTCTCTTGAAGATTGCAAGGAGGGGGTGAGTATTCACTTAAGGGTAATCTAATATGCCACAAAATGACTAGATTTAGGCCAACTCCCAGACCAGAGGCTACGTGGACTGTCCCAGAAGCTGAAGAATATTTATCCAAAACAAACATGGTGAACTACTAACAGGCAAGAAAGAGTTAAATGGCTTTTAGGACGAGCAAGCAACAATGTTAACAGAGTCTGCTACAAGGTGGGGATTTTATACAGAAGGAATTTTGTAGTTCTATTCACATTTATAAAAGCACTAAGATATGCTTTTATAAATTATATAAGCACTATTACATAGGCATAGCCAATCCCCTAGCAGTTTTCCACTACTGCCAGTCTCTTTCTTGTAATATTATGATAATTGTCTGGGGTCCACTTATGAGTGAGAACATGTGGTACTCGGTTCTTTGTTTTTGTGGTAGATCACTGAGTATTATAAACTCTAAGTCCATCAAGTTGCTGTGACACTCATAATTTTAATTTCTTTTGAAGGGTTGAACTAGTCTTTGGGAACACATCTGTTAAAAACTGAGGATATACTTTGTTTCTTCATTCTTAAATCCTGTTGTGTCATAATATTCATATCTCATTATTGACACCATCAAGGTGGCTAGGCACTAATTTTCTCTGTTCTTATAAAGTGACAATCTTTAACTGTATTCGGCAACCACTGACTATGTCTAGGTCCCTCAACTTCCTGCTTGACCTCATAGGTCACAGAAATACCTCTTAGATGTGTGTTGGTGTGTGTTGAGAGTATCCACTTCTGTCCGTCTCATGCTTATGCTTCTATACCATCCTCTTTGCCACAGTAGCAGGAAGACTTCAAAATACCTTTCCCAGAATCCCTTGCCAACCAACATACAATGGGAGGTGGGACCTGGGAGGTTGGAGGAAAGAAGACATTATTTATTTATTTATTTATTGACTTTATTTTATTATGATGATGTGGGGTATAAGTCAGGATTAGGTACATAAGTGATCTATGTACAGGTGAAGTTTGGACCTCCAACTGGCCCTCACTTCTTCTGGTTTAGGACCAGTTACTCTTTGTGTTGCTACGTACTTCCCTCACTCCCTTGCTCCCCTGGCAGTGTCCCACGACTTCTTGTACCTGTGCCAGCTACATCAGCAACAACAGCAGGGACAGCAACAGTAACGCTGGCAGTTTTGACAAGACTATAGAAGCGAGGGTACCTAGTGAGTGCAGGTTTCTGAGGCACTACTCGGGCAGTGGCATTCCCAAAGGAAGCAGCCTCCATGGCAGGTGTCCATGGACTGTGAGTAAAGTCATTTTTGCTTTTGTCTTCCAGCTCTAAGTGTGATAGTAGTTTAGTGTGATTGGCACTCCTTGTTTTACCCCTCTTGCTTATTCCTATTCCTCCATAACAGATCCCCTACAGTAAATGCCCTCTGTTAAGCTCCCAGATCTATTACTATTTTCCTGATTGTACAGGCACGAAGCAAGCAGATGTGAATCCGCATGTGTGTGTGGCAGCAGCAGAGGTGGTTTGCCCTGGAATTCATCTCAAAACGTTCTGGGAAAACATTCAAGGAATACTTCATTGACAGTGCCAAATCTGCACATAACTGTTCATTGACTCTTAGTAAAGAATCATCAGTCTCTCAAATCCAGTTAGAAGTTGTGTGATACTGGCATTTACAGACACTTGTTTGTGCCATGTTTATTTTCTAGAAGGTCTGCATTTCAGTTATTCAAAATAATTTGCAAGACTTTTGTGTCTGTTGAGCCCTTTTTAAGGCATATTATTTCCCATTTTATCTCCCTCTTATCCTTTCTTTAGTCTCCTAAGAATTTTGAATTTGTGGTTTTCTTTTGATATTTCCTCTTCTGTTTCCTCTAGGAACTCTTCTTTGCAGATAAGCTGGCAATGAGAAGTCGAATTCTCAAGAAAGAAAGGAAGTCAGTGGTAATAATGCTATCACTGAGAAAGGGGTGAGGTCAGTGTGGGCAATAATCTTATGCCATAGGTTTGTTTTCATCATATGCTACCCCTAAGATTAAATGTGAAGAATATCTTTACCTCCCCTCTCCCAAAATGAAAAAGGAACTTACCTTGAATGATGGAATAATTTTCTAGGCTACCATAGTCAAATTCCTGCCCATAACTGTATACTTAGGAACTGTTCCCTCATCTTCCTGAGCAATAGGAAGGGGACTACTGACTCCATATTTGGGGAATATTCAAGATCTGTTGCCCTGATGGGTTTCTTGACCTTTAATATTCAGCATCTCTGTCTCCATGAACATTGTTACCCTATATCTGCCTAACAAGGAAATGGTAGATTTTGATGACATTTGATTAGACACAAAATTTGGAAGGAAAAATATTAAACTGTGCAGCTGAATGTTATCCAGAAGCAAGGGAAGGCATGCTGCCAATTTTCCCCAGTTCCGTGTTTCATAACATGGTGTTGCTTGGATATCAGCTTATCAACAGACTGAATTTCCACCACTACCACCATGTGAACAGAGTCCTTGTAAGAAACAAGGACACTGAATATGAATGCCAGCTTTTAAAAAGGGGGAACTACAATACAAGGTAAATTTCTTTTAAGCAAATCTGTCTTTTTGTTTGAGATATGTTATTTTGTATATTTTTTTCCTCCTTGAATACCACAAGTGTTTAATCAAGCTTTATCAGCTATAGACCACTTGAATAGGTGAGATGCATTTCTTCAGCAATAGCCTAAGAAAAGCCTGCATGAATTGTTGCTACAGGAAAAAGCATCAGTCATTTCCTTATGTTATTTGAGGAAAGAAAAAATCTTTCCAGCTTTGAGGAATATTTATTCTCTACAGATCTGGAAAATGGGAAGAGGGACATTGAGATGATTTGAGTATAGGATAGAGCATAGGCTTCAATCACCAAGAGTATTAAAAGAGTATATCTTGGTTGGTATGGTTTCTAGAGTGCACACTGAAGGAAAGCGGTATTAAATAAAATATTTATAGTTTAATTTATAAGTTTATATAGTGAAAACAGTACACACAGAGATGTTGACTGATGTTTTCTTAATAAATGTATCTTCTGGAAGCTCTGAGCCCCAGATGTGTGAACTCAAAACCAATCAGAGTCTTCACATGTATTAAAACATTTCTTAAGCACGTGAATGAGTTTGTGCCCACGTGTATGTGTGTGTTCTTGAGCATACACTAGAGTAGGGCAGAGAGAGAAGAAACTGGCATAAAGCGACAGCATTCTATATTCATGATCTCAGTGAATCCAAACAACCTGGCAAGATAGGTATTGTAACCATCATCATAAAGATGGGAGGACTCAGGCTACAAAAAGGAAGACACTCCAGTCTGTCTAGTTCTAAAGATCAGACAACCTTTAGTATCATTGATTTTGTTTTGTTTTGTTTTGTTTTTTACTTCAGTTAGCATGTGGTATGGGTATTAATAATAATAAAATATATTCAGAGGATCTGATACTATGTTTAATTCGGTGTGTTCTTACTTCCTGTCATTCGGTAGTTCACACTGATAGCAAAGGCAAGAGAGTAAGGGAGAGGTGCCGGGGGAGGGGAAATACTCCAGGTTTCCTCTCTGTGCCCAGCAACCAATTCACTACATCTACTCTTCCTGGGTTATTCAATCTTATTATAATACATACTTCAAACTCTAAATCCTAGAGCACGAAGAAAGGAGACTTAATCATACTAAGTGTGACTCCTTCATTCTATATCTTGGTTAGACAAGTGGAAATATAACAAGCCTAATCGTTTATTTTACATTGCTATAAAATTGCAACTCTAATGTGTGAGAAATGGAGAATGATGTAAAGGTATACTATACTGCCACTAAAAATAATATTTCTGAGAAATATTTAATGATCTGGGAAAGTGTACAATGCTTATATGCTGTGATCTCCCTTTTCTAAAATCACACATATTGTACACAGAAAAACAAAACAAAACAGAAAATCAGCCAAATGCCAACAATAGCTACAGATAGTTAGATGCAGGTTGAGAATACCTCATCCAAAATGCTTGGGACCAGAAGTGTTTTGGGATTCCAAAAAATCTTGTATTTTGGAATATTTGCATTATCCTTACCACTTGAGCAACTCAAATTCAAAAATCCAACATCTGAAATGCTGCAATGAGCATTTCTTGTGAGTGTCATGTCAGTGCTCAAAAAGTTTCAGATTTGGAGCATTTCAGATTTTAGACTTTTAGATTTGGGATGCTCAACCTGTATGAGTAATCTCATTTTCTTCTTCAATTTTTAAATTTTTCCAAATTTTTCAAAATGATATATATCACTTTTAGAATCAGATGAAATAATAAATATAGTTTGAAGTTGTCAAGAAATATCTATTATGCAAATGGTATGGTTCTACAATGCACCAGTTCCAAACACAGAGTTAAGCAGAAAGACAAGGGCTCTGAATTATGCCTTAAATCATAAATAATTAATAATTATTTTCATAAATAAGGACTGAGACTAGGGGAAGTTATAGAATTAAGTAGTTTTATGAGGTCCAATTACCTGGAAGCATGTAAGATATTGTTTACTTCTTGGAACAAACAACATTTCTGTATTTATTTATTTATTTATTCCTTTGCTTACTTAGGTAATCCCCAAAATAGGTTGAGCAAAATGAAATTTAATGCTGTGCTTTGTTGTTTCTTGGAGGTACTGGATGAAGAATGGGAGAAAACCGGAAAAGACAAAAGCTTCAGAATGTTCCACAAATTCCTTGCATTCAAGTCCCTCCCTCTGCCTGTGACACTTCCTTACTGAAGGTACACCATTTCATTCACAGAAAGAGGGAGCTTGTCATGTCTACTTCAAGGCTTGAGAACTTTTTCTACTGACTAAGCTTATCCAACATTAGTGAAAGTGTTTGACCCAAAATAAGCCCTTGCTGGGTATTGAGGACTTGCATGAATGAAGGAGCATTTGGATGATCAAATCCTACACTCATCCCATTTTGGAGCTCTGGTAGACAGTCATCTCCTCCTGTGGCTGACCCACTATTGGTGGCAAGAAATTGGCTAATTGACTGCATTTGGCTCCCTGTTGGAGAGCTGTCAACTCCTTTGTCAAATTTAGTCAAAGCCACTCTCATAAACACTCTGAAAGCATTTTAGTTCTCTTCCATCCCTTCAGGGAAGCATAGATAACAGGGTAAATTTTTACTAAGGTAAAGTTCACTTAGTAAAACATAGACAACAGGGTATGAATATTAGCAATGTTACCTGTACTTCTCATTTAGGAAATTTTTAGGTAAAATTTTACTAAGAAAAAGAAGTAGACGTTTTCTTTTAAAATAAAATCCTAACTTTTAAGATTGTATCTCATGTGATGGAAAGTTCCTTTGTACTTTGGAGCTTTGCTCTTGAAATTGGCTTGCAATTTTCTTATTATCTTCTTCCAAATCATTTGAAAAGGCTTAACTAGTTATGCAGGAGTAGAATCCATTTTCTTCTTCAAGTATATTATTCTTTAAAATACCTAATTTAGAAACTAAAGCTGAAATGGCGCCTAAATTGTGAGATCCCTGCCTCTGCTACTTTCACTCTAGATATCATTTTGATATTAACTTTAAGGTCTCTGGAGAAAAAACAAAAACAAAAAACCCCCCCAAAAACCAAAAAATCAGCAACAACAAAAAAACAGACTCACAGATTTCAGCACCACACAAAATTTCTAACAGGTAAAAACCTTATCCTATTTTTATGTATAGCTATCTTAAGTTAAGTTTAGTTTTTATTGCATTGTCATCAACTAGTTTTGAAAATTTTGTCATTGTTTTAAATTGTTGGCCTAGGGTGAGCTTATTTTATGTTAATTTTTCTAGAATATTGATGCCACTATCTTAGTCTCCCTCTGTGTAAAATAAGCACAATAAATTGTCCATCTTTTATGATTGTTGTATCTTAAGAGATAATGCATGCCAAATGCCTGGCACAGCATGTAATAAGCCTTTGAGATAAATTAGGTGTGTAGTAAAAATTGAAGTCCTGGTTCTTCTTGTCTGTCCCTACCTCTATGAAGGTAGCTCTCTTAAAGGTTTTCCTACCAATGGTCTCTTTCCTTAAGCCCATTCTTAACAGCAGGGCCAGAGTAGTTTTTTAAAGATGTTAATGTGGTCAGTTTAGAGTATGGCATTTTGAGGTGAATAAGTTACCCCAGGAGAGTGGGAAGATGGCCTGTGCATTGCAAGATGCTCAGCAGCATCCAAGGTCTCTACTCACTGAATGCCAGTGGCACCCCTTTCCCCTCTCACAAATTAGGAAGATCAAAAATTTTTGTAGACATTGCCATATGTCCCTTGGGAGTCAAAACCATCCCTGTTGAGAACCACTGCCTTAAAGAAAGATCTTTAAACTCTTAACATAGCATAAATGGCTTCCATCATTTCCCTCTTACTCTACCACTCTTTTGCAATCACATTCTATGCTCTCTTTGAACTAAAAAAAAGTGCCTGGTTCCCATCAGACCCAGATATTTGATGCTCCACAGGAAATTTTGCACCAGTTTCTCTCTCTGCCTATAACTAACCTTACTTTTTCTTCTATTAGAGTGGTTTTCAAATTTTAATGTGCTTATATCAAAATCAACTGAAGGGCTCGTTAAAACAGATTGCTGACCCATGCCCCGGAAGTTTCTGTAGGTCTAGGTGGAGTCTGAAAACTTGAATTTCTGACAGGTTTCCAGGAGTTGCCCATAAACTCGGAGAATCAGTGTTCTAGTACCCTCAAAGAACTCCCCACCCTTAAGACTCGGATGTGGTGGTCACCTCATTTAGAAAACCTTCCTTGACTGCTATGAGTAGACTTTGTTGACCTTGTTTTCCATAGCACTTCTTCACGAATGATATAATGAACCCTTAACACATTACCCATCTATTTCATTTATCTATCTCCGTTATTTACTAAGAATTATCAGTGGAAAATTCTCTTCTACCCACCCAGAGGCCTAACATACTTCAACCCTGTGTAGATTAGGATCAATAAAATTATAAGATCCTTAGATCTCCCTCAGTCCAAGACCTACTTACCTAGAATCTTTTATTTACACATTGCCATCATCACACAAACCAGTAGAAAATTGTTAAAGCAATCTAAGGGAAGCAACTACCTAATTGTTATTTTCCAATGGATATACATTAAAAATGTATGTTTTAGCAGAAGAAGCATCTTATTCCCATGAATAGTCATTCTTTTAATCCTGGAGAACTCCACAGACTCACCAAAATCACCTGCTCTGCTCTGACAGGACCTAACCCGAGGGCAACAGCGCTATTTTTACAGCATCATGAGAATTTACAACCCCAGGCCCCAGTGGGAGGCCCTGCAGAGACGCTATATTCACAGCCTTGGGCATCAGCAGCTGGTTGGTGAGTTTAACTACCTGACCTGTACCAGGAACCACCGGAAGGAACTCACGTGCTACAGCCAGAAGTCAAGTTTCCAGTTACATAATTCAAGGACAACGGCCTCTGCCAGTGTGCTATTTTATCAACATAGTTGGTTACCCAAGTATCAAAGTGGTTGTCCTTAACAATAGAAAGCATGGTTTTATGTGTAAATTAAAAGGATTTAAAGAAATTCAAGTATGGATTGTGATAAAATGTTAACAACTCTGAAATTTGCAGGGACTTAATCTAGTGGATCAATGGCACTGGGCTTAGAAAGCCAGCCTTGCTCAAACCACAGCCTAGCCCCTTGCTCTTTGTGTAAACTCAGAGGCTGGATTTACTCACAACAATAATAACAGTCATATTTACTATGTATTTACTACATTTCAGACCTACTAAGAACTTTACATATAATATCTCATTTTCTCTCCCCTTTATGGTTATGGTTTTGAAAAATGGAACCTCAGGCAGATTATGTAACTTGATCAAAGTCATGCAGATAGTAAACCTCAGTTAGCATTTCAAGGCGGAGGTGTCACCTCCAAAGATCATGCATTTTCACTTCCGTCCTCTGCTGTCTCTCTTCTACCAATCTCTTCAGATTTTATGAAGCACAAATGAAATCATGGTTGTGAAAGACCTTCACAAAGACCTTCACAAAGCACCAACCCAATAAAAGGTGTAATTGTTAAAAAAAAGTCCCTTTTCTTGCAGGACATGCTGTCAGTTTCCAGCCCCCTTCTATTATGCTTTTCTCCTAAACCCAACAGGGTGCTTGTTAAACAAAAATACCTCTCAACACTAGCACATCTACTTTATAATATTTTTCCTGTATTTGCACAAAAGAAAAATGTGGCTTTTGCAAATAATTTAATACAAACAACAAACAGAATGGCTATCTTTTATCGAGGGCTTCCTATGTGGCAGACACAGTTCTAAGAACTTTTGTGCTCACTGTCTTATTTAAAATTCAAACACCTCTAAGTGGTAGCTGTCTTTGTAACCTACAGTTTACAGAGTTGAAAACTGAAACATGGACTAGTTAAAGAACTTTATCAGGGTCATGAAAATAGTAAATGGAGGAGCCAGGAACCAGTCTGGTTCCCATGATTGTCTGAAGTGTTGCAAAAGCATATCTAGCAGCTTTGTTTTTTAGAACAAAATTGCATAGGAGCAAATGAATCCAGAAGCAGAGGTATTCAATGTTTGATGCACATAAAATCCACCTGTCGCCTTTTTTAAATGCAGATTTCCAGACCTAATGTTCCTCAAAGACCTTACAATCTGGGAATGCTAGCTAGAAGAATAGAAGAAAGTTTATACACATAAGTAAATATTTGTAGTTTTGTTTACTTACATGTTTTGTAAAATTATTGACTTTGAAGTTTCTCTCACTTCCTTCCCCTAGGCTATATTACTCAACGGGAAGCCTTGTCTTATGCTGTTGTACTTAGAGATTCAACCAAGAGAGCCTCAGTCAAGGTAGCTCCTCAAAGAATCATTACCCAGAAATCTTCGGCCATGACAAAAAAACGTCGGTCAGTACTACCTGTGTCTGTGGTTCTACCCATGGCCCAAAGTACAGGGTGCTGAACCCTCAGGAACTGAGACTTGGGAACATTCTCTGAAAGGGGCAGTTTGCCCGTGTATTTCTGGCATCTAGTGGGTGCTTAGTGCATATAGTTTAATAACAATAATTTCTAATATTAACCCCAGACCTAAAAATAATATCTCTTACATAAATTTTGCTAGCAAGTACAAATTAAGAGATTTAAGAGCAATGGAACTGAGAGCAAGCAAGCCTTTCCACGTATATTCTATAGAGTGAAATGACATTTAAAGCTTTCAGAGTAAAAGTGTCCTTTGAATTATACCTCCCAAAGAACTCCCAAAACCAGTGAATGGGAACAAGGAACCAGAAGGTGCCAGGTTCTCTGTCACTGGGTGACCATTCTCTACATGCCACCCACTGTACATGTTGAAAATATAGAAACCAACATGGAGTTAGCATTGATCATAGAGGGCTTCTAGACTATATCATCACAGCAACAATTGGCCTATGCATTTCCTCCCTCTCTTCCTCCCCCATCAAGCAGTAGCATTCAACTTGGTCCAAAAGTTTCTGGTTTTCACCTGACTTGATCACTTTGTGTCATCTTGAAGCTTCACTTATCAGTCTGCCACAACTGGATTGATTTTACTCAGCTATAATTGGCCTTGACATGGGTAAGAGAATTCATGCACACATCTTTCCCTGACAGCTGAAGAAGCACTCTTAACAGAGCACGAAATAGCCCTGAAGAATTGATCTCAAACCCAGCCTTTCTGTAGCCTCAAAGGTTTTAAGCAAAGCACATAAGGCTATACAAATAAGCAAAAAACAAGATAACAGTGAGTCAGATCATCGCATAAATAGTGTAGTATCATATTAGTTATTTTTATTAGTTATTTTCATCACAAATGATGTGTGTGTGTGTGTGTGTGTGTGTGAGAGAGAGAGAGAAAAATTAGCACCAGGGCTAATACAAAGTCAAAATTAAAAATACTTCTTCATCTTCTTTTTTAAATGCTTCACCCCATTCAAATCAGCCAATGACTTTTTCATACCTGTGAAAGAAATGGAAAGAAATGGAATATAAACTTGCTTAACAAAGGATGTGTTAACATTGATCTGAAGGGAAGATGCTCCATTATTCTCAGAAAAAAATTCACTGATGATTATTATCTTCTTTTTGCAACCATTAACATATAAGATATAAAAGCTGTCATGAGATTCTGAAAACATCCAATACTAGTTCTCATCTATCTTTTCTTTGGGAGGAACAAAAAGTATGATTGACCCACAAGTCTGATGGAAAGTCCTGGGGAAGCTGGTACTGACCTCACTGGGGTCATTCATTTAATCATGAAGAAGTTTCTGGCCCTGACTCATGCACTCTAAGTAGCTGTACAGTTCTAAGTAAGGACTTGTAAGGCAGGCTTAAAAGAAGAAAAAAATCTAATGGGGTTGGTTTGGGGTATGGGTCCTCTTAAGGGACAAAGGTTTGGGGTAGACCTAACTTGGCCCGTACTAACCTTCCCATTGTTTCCACAATGGGCCTTTTATTCATTTGAACTGTTTGTATGCACTTTTATCTTAGACTTTTTTCCCCACTGGCCACATATATTTGCTGTGTAAACCTTAGCTGGTGATACAGAATATTAAAGAGGCCACTTATGATTCTGAGCTGCATCCCTGCATCAAAAGTCTCAGAAGCACCTTGTTTCCAATAGAAACTTTTAATAGATGATTGACAGGTGAATGTCACAGGTCCATAAGAAGGATAAACATAACTAAGCTGGAACAAAAGGTCTCATTTGTTGCCTCTCCCTTTTAAGAAGATAATGTGCCCTTCTCCCCCTTGCCCTTGAGCCCTGCACTTGAGGTTTATGAGAAATGTGATCGGTTATGGTGCTGGAACAAAGCTGCTCACTGTACGGACACTGAGAAAGATGATCAAAGGGGAAGCGAGGACAACATGTCCTCATTTAACTATTAGAGGCTATATTGCTGATTCTCACCATGTCAACAGACTATCAGATCTTAAAGTCCTGGAGATCAGTGGCCATTTCACCTGATAATGCTAACATCTCAGCCCCTGTTCTGCAGTAGGCAATCAGTAATACTTGTTGAATAATAATGAAGTTTTCTGAGAGTCTGCATGTCAGTCGGGCCTCTGACTTTGTGGTACTATTCTGGGGTCCCCAGAAGCCACAGCTATGATAAGGAGTAGCAGTAGAATATCAAGGACAGGTGGTGGGAAGAGTTCACCCAGGTGTAGGTAATAGGGGTGCAGTGTCTATGAAGAATTTTAAAACAATAATAGAACTGACTAAAAGTCAGTCTACATTTTATTATCACCACGAGCCAGATATTCTAAACAATATCAATAATAATATACTCATCCCCCCAAAATATTTTATTGGATTAGGTTCTAAGCAATTGCTGAGATTATTGTTGAGTTTTAAATAATATGTACGTAAGTTTCAAATTAGTACATTTTTATTGTTTTCCCTTTAATAATCATTTTATTCCACATGGAAGTAAATCAGAGCCTGGCACGGTGGCTCACACCTATAATCCCAGCCCTTTGGGAGGCTGAGGCAGGAGGATTGCTTGAGCCTAGGAGTTCGAGACCAGCCTAGGCAACATAGCGAGACATCGTGTCTACAAAAAAGATTAAAAAAAATAGTCAGGCATGGTGTCACATGCCTGTAGTCCCAGCTACTCGGGAGGCAGAGATGGGAGGATCACTTGAGTCCAGGAGTTCAAGGTTGCAGTGAGCCGTGATCATGCCACTGCACTCTGGCCTGGGTGTCAGAGTGAGACCCTGACTCAAAAAACAAAAAATAAGAGAAAGAAAATCAGAGAACTCCACTATATTGTTGGCTCCCAGCACACACTATTAGCTTACATGTCTCCAGACACTGTAGTACCAGGTATTCTTGCATGTAAATGATAGATTTGAAATGAACAATGATTGCACTGTGACTATAAAGACAAGAAACAGAACCTGAATTACTTTAATTTTTGATTCTATGTGGCCACTTAGAGTTTTCCTTTCTAAAACAATCTTGAGGTATAATTTATAGACAATAAATGCTCTCAAAGTTTCAATGAACCTTGACAAAGGCATACAGTTACATAACCACCACCACAATCATGACATAGAACATTTTCATGACCTCCTCAAATTCCCTGTGTCCTTTTGTAGTTAATCTCCTCCCCCCAACTCTGGCCCATGGAAATCACTGATCTGCTTTCTATCGCTATAGTTTTGTGTTTTCTAGAATTTTACATAATTGTAGTCAGGGCAATAGTATTTTATGTCTGGCTTCCCTCACTAGCATGATGCTATTGAGGTTCCTTATGTTGCATGTATCAGTAGTTTGTTCCTTTTCACTGCTAAGTAACCTTCCACTGGATGGCTACACCATGATTTGCTTATTCATTCACCGGTTGATGAGCCTTTGTATTGTTTATAGCTTTGGACTATTATGAATAAAACTGCTACAAATGCCTGAATGTGCGAGCATACATTTTTATTTCTCCTGGATAGTTTCCTAAGAGTCCCATCATAAGATCACACGGCAGCTTTAGGGTTAACTTTATAAAATACTGCCATACAGTTTTCCAAAGTGGCTGCACGATTTTGTATTTCCATTAGCAATGTGTAAGGGTCCTAACTGCACTACATTCTTACAGTGTCAGACATTTTAAACTTTTTTCTAGGTGACTGTGGATGTGTGGGAAATATGAGTATTGTCACTATTAATTATAGTCACCTTTTACTGGAAACTGTGGCATATTTCAGGGAAGGGAGTCTTGACAGACATGTGGGTGGTCAAGGTGATAATCTTGGAGATTTGATGGAAGAAATTTCTGTGTTTAGTAGTCAGCTCTGTTAGGACAACTCTCCAGTTTATTTTTAGGGGAGGAAGGGATTGGAGGAAGTGAGATTGAAGAAAAAGAAGCAATCCCTGTAGGAAGGGCCATCCCTGGGCAAAACTGTGGCAAGGATTCAGTGTGTCTTCATTAAATTGTCACCTTCTCTTGTTTACATTGTTCTTCAGGTTAAGCAATTGACTCCCCACCACCACCACCAAAATCTTCATGCACTGTATTGGTTATCAATTGCTGCATAATGAAGTACTCAAAAAGTTAATGACTTAAAGCAACAATATTTACTATCTCACAGCTTCTGTGATCAGAATCTAGGCATGGCTTAGCTAGGGTTTCTGGCTCAGAATCCCACACAAGGCTGCAATCAAGTGGTTGATTGAGGCTGTAGTCTTATCCGAAGATCCAACCACGGAAGGATCCACTTCCAAGCTCACTGATGTAATTGTTGGCAGAATTCAGTACCTTGGGGCCTGGTGGGCTCAGGGCCTCATTTCTAAATGGCTGTTAGTTATGATAAGGAGTAGCAGTAGAATATCAAGGACAGGTGGTGGGGAAGAGCTCACCCAGGTGTGGGTAATAGGGGTGCAGGGTCTATAAAGAATTTTAAAACAATAATAGAGCTGACTAAAAGTCAGTCTACATTTTATTATCACTACAAGCCAGAAATTCTAAATAATATCAATAAGTCCACAGGCCTTTCAGCGGGACAGCTCACAAATGGTGACTTGCTTCATCAAAGTTAGAAAACAAAAGAGAGAGTGTGTGCACGTCACAGTCTTGTGCACCTTGATCATCTAATCTATCACTTTCACTGCAACCTATTCAATATTAGCAAGTCACTAGGTCCAGGCTCACACAAAGGTAGGGGATGACTCAAAGGTATAAATGCTAGAAGGTGGACTCATTGGGAGCCATTTCAGAAGCTGTTTAATAAAGCTAGGACTAGAGTGGAGTAGGGGACATGCCTAGGGTGCAAAACTGGAGGAAACACTCGTACTTGCACAACATTAGGAGTGAATCCACCAGATACCTCATTTACTTTATTCTAATCCTGACCCTGCCTGCTACACACACCCAACATACTTACCGACTTCTCACCCAATCAGGATTCCCTGCTGAGACAACCAGTCTGAGCCTGTCTTCTCAGGCAACTATCCCATGTGTACACTTTTCTTCCTGCTATGACTCAGTCTTGAAACTTAGCTCTTAAAACTTAGTTGTTTTTTGTTCCAACCTCTACCATGCTGTTGAGGAAAAATAATATCAAATAAGCCTAAAGCAT